TATATATATATATATATATATATATATATATATATGTATGTATGTATGTATATATATATATATATGTAGACAGTCATAGAAAGTCGATGCTAAGAAGGAGACACGGAGACAGTTGGTGCTGAGGCAGAAAAAAAGGGAGACAGAGACAGAGACAGAGACAGGTTAAGTGGGGTCACGCAGTTGTCCTTCATATCAGCTTTTTTACTGTCTCTGTGCCGCCGTGCAGCTGCAGCTAGCTGCAGCTAGCTAGCTAGCTAGCTAGCTAGCTAGCTAGCTAGCTCAGGAGCAGCCCTGGATAGCTATGGGGGCCTGCAACGGCGGCCAGCTAGCAGCTAGCTTTTGCCTCGGGGTGAGGCATTCCTAAGAGACTGCGGTCTCTGGTTTAGGGTTGTATAGCTAGCTAGCTAGCTACTTAGCTAGCTAGCTAGCTGGCTATCTAGCTAGCTAGCTACATAGCTGACTAGCTAGCTAGCTAGCTACTTAGCTGGCTAGCTAGCTAGCCAACTATGTAGTGAGGGGGACTGTATGGGTTTGGTATAAGTTTAGTTTTGTCTTTTTTTTTGTCTCCTCTCGTTTCGTTCCCTGTAGAGACCAGCTGTCTCCTCTCAGCCTTAGCTGCTGCCGGGGGTGGGGGGCAGGGGTTGCAGCACAGCAGCAGGAGCTCTATGCTGCTGCTGCGGCTGCTGCAGCAGCGCAGCAGCAGCAGCAGCAGCGAGGGAGCAGCAGCATCTTTGTATATGTCTTAGATTTCTTATTGCTGAGGAGAACTGTCTCCTCTGCTGTAGAGACACAGCTAGCCGCCGCTCAGTAGCAGCCTTTGCCTCCCCCCTGCCCTTCTCGTATGCTGCTGCTGCTGCTGCTGCTGCTGCTGCCTACGTGCGTAGCTGCTGCTGCTGCTGCTGCCTACGTGCGGAGCTGCTGCTGCTGCTGCTGCCTACGTGCGGAGCTGCTGCTGCTGCTGCAGCTACGGAGTCATCAAGGGAGCAGGGAAGGCCCCAGGTGGCATGCAATTTGCTGCTGTTGCTGCTGCTGCTGTTGCTGCTGCTGCTGTTGCTACTGTTGCTGCTGCTGCAGCCTCTGGCCGGCCTTTAAGGCCCAGGAAAGAGACAAGGAGACACTGGGGGCCTTGAGGGCCCCTTGGGGGCCCCTCGGGGGCCCCCCTGCCTCGAGAGGGGGTACAGATAGGCTGGCCTATTGCTAGTGAAAGCGGCCTTAGGGGCCCCCTGGGGGCCCCCTAGGGGCCCCCAGAAGCGCCGCGAGGGCCCCCAAGGGGCCCCTGGGGGCCCAAGGGGTCTGGTTGTGTGCGTAGTATAGGGGCGAGGGAGGGGACAGGTGAGTCGGCGGTGGTGTTTGTGTGTTGGTGTGTATATTGAGAGATATATTCTTGTTGTGTTTATATTTATGTGTTTTATAAGGAAAGAAAGGAGACAGACAGAGAGAAGAAAGGTGCCTAGACACCCCAGAAGCCTGAATCGATTGGTGGCCTCGGCGGCGGTCCAGGGCAGCGGACCAGCGGCGGCACCAGTGGTTCTTTTGTAGGAGTTTAGTTTTTTTTTTGTTTTTTTTCTTCTTTTTGCTTCTTTTATATTTAAATATATAATAAAAGGGAAATATAAACCCTCTGGCTTTGCTGCTCTCCCCGCCGCCTCGTAGCTCGGCCAGCAGCAGCGACACTGCTCGGGTGTATGTACACCGAAACCAAGCCTTCTTCTTTACGGCTATAGACTGCGTCTGTGCGTCTCCATCTTTAGTGTTTTTACTTCTATATAGAATAAACAACAATAAAAAAACAAAAAAAAAACAAAAAAAAAAGAACAACACCAGGGTCAGAGCTCAGCGCCCCAATCGCTCGCTGGGGCCTCTCGGTGGGCCTCGGGGGCCCTTCACTGCCGCCCAGCAGACAGGGGCCCCCGGGGCCCCTGCAGCAAAAGCAGGTAGAGCAGCAGCAGCAGCAGAGCCTCTGCATATCATCTCCTGGGACGGGGGGGCCCCTCGGTAGACGGGGGCCCCCGAGTCCCCTACGGGTAAGAACATGGACCCTGTTGAGAGGGGGCCCCCTGGGGAAATGGGGCCCCCTGAGACTCTTACGGGGGATGAGGCCTCTATGGAGATGGGGGCCCCCATGGAGATGGGGGCCCCCATGGAGATGGGGGCCCCTATGGAGATGGGGGCCCCTGGGGCCCCTGAGGAGATCGGTGCGCCTGAGACCCCCTGGGAGTTGGAGGCCCCTGCGGCTGGGGGGGCCCCTAAGGACATGGGGGCCCCTGGGGCCCCTGGTGAGATGGAGACACCTGGTGAGAGGGGGCCCCTCGGTGAGTTTGGGGGGGGGCGAGGCAGAGGTAAGAGCCCGTGCCGTGGGGGAGGAGACAGTCCCTCTGAAGCATCAGTATATAGAACCCCGTTGAGAGAAGACAGCGCAGAGAAAGGAGACTGTCTCCTTTCTGCTAGAGACACTCTACGTCGGGGAGACAGCCCCCACAGAGGAGACAGTCTCCCCTCTGAAGGAGACAGGCACCAGCAAGGAGACAGTCTGTGGAGAGGAGACAGCCCCCACAGAGGAGACACTCTGCACAGGGGACACAGCCCCCACAGAGGGGACCGGGTCTGGCGAGGAGACAGTCCCCACAGAGGAGACAGCCGCCACAGAGGGAGCTCTGTGTGGGGAGGAGACAGCCCCCGCAGAGGAGACAGTCCCCACAGAGGAGACAGTCCCCACAGAGGAGACAGCCCCCAGAGAGGCAGCTCTGTGTGGGGAGGAGACAGCCCCCAGAGAGGTAGCTCTGTGTGGGGAGGAGACAGTCCCCACAGAGGAGACAGCCCGCAGAGAGGGGGCCGTGTGTGGGGAGGAGACAGTCCCGGTAGCGGGGTCCGTGTGTGGGGAGGAGACAGCCCCGAGAGAGGAGACAGTGCAGCATCGCATAGAGGAGACAGTCTCTCTTATGAAGGAGACAGTGGCCCGCGAGGGGACAGCACTGGGTCTGAAGGAGACAGTGTATGTTTAGGAGGAGACAGGTTGCGGGGGGGAGACAGTTTGTTGCTGTTTGGTGGAGGAGACAGAGGAGACAGAGGAGACAGTGTGGGGTGTATGTGTCTCCTTGACTCTGCTGCCTCGGCCTCCGACAGCGGGGGCACAGGAGACAGCGCAGCCGAAGGAGACAGCGTGGCGCAGCGGCTAGCATCGAGGCTGCGGCGAGTGTCTCTGCGTCTGCGTAAGCTAGAGCAGCAGCAGCAGCAGCAGCAGCAGCAGCTGCAGCAGCAGCAGCAGGAGTTCAAGGTGTCTCCTCGTCGGCACTTTGTCCCCCTTTCTCTGTCTCCTCGTTGCTCTGCTGCTGCTGCAGCAAGAAGAGACACCCTCGGCGGAGACAGCAGCAGCATGATAGAGAGAAACGCAGCCATCAGCAGCCTAGCTAGCTCCCTAGAAGAGCTATATGAAGACGCTACGCTTGCTGCTGCTCAGGTGACCCTCAACTGTCTCCTTTCTGCAGCAGCAACCAACTTCTCCTGTCTCCCCTCACACAACACACACACATGCTTCATCGACCATCAGTTTTTTTTTGTTGTTGTTGCTGTTGCTGCTGCTGTTTCTATTGTTGTTGTTGCTGCTGCTGCTGCTGTTTCTATTGTTGTTGTTGTTGCTGCTGCTGCTGCTGCTGCTGCTGTTGCTGCTGTTGCTGCACAGTGCCACAGATGGAGCACCGCAGCGGCGCGCCAGAAGCAGCAGCTCAACGCCGCCTTAGAAGAAAACGAAAGGCTGGTATGTTACACACNGCAGCGGCGCGCCAGAAGCAGCAGCTCAACGCCGCCTTAGAAGAAAACGAAAGGCTGGTATGTTACACACCATGCAGCAGCAGCAGCAGCAGCAGCAGCAGCAGCAACAGCAGCAGCAGGAAGAATAGCAGCAAGAGCAGCAAGGCCAGAACAGCAGCAGCAGCAGCAGCAGCAGCAGCTAACAGATGTTTGCTGACCCTCGAGGGGTGTCTCTGTTGTTCTGTCTCTTCTTTTTCTTCTGTCTCCTCTCTGTTTCTTCTGTCTATACTTCCTCTTATCTTCTGTCTCTTCTGTCTCCTCTGCTGCTGCTGCTGCTGCTGCTGCTGCTGCTGCTGCTGCTGTCTGTTGTCTGCAGCTGGCGGAGAACCAGAGTCTGTGCGAGGAGCTGAGCGCCACCAAACAGAAGTGCATCAATACTGAGGCGCAGCTGCAGCAGCTACTAAAGTATAAGGTCTGTCTCTTGCCTGTCTCCTCAACTGTCTCCTCACCTGTCTCCTCAACTGTCTCCTTGCCTGTCTCCTCTTCTGTCTCCTTCTCAGCTGTCTCCTTACCTGTCTCCTTATTTCTCCCCTTGCCTGTCTCCTTAGCTGTCTCCTTACCTGTCTCTTCAGCTGTCTCCTCAGCTGTCTCCTTACCTGTCTCCTCAGCTGTCTCCACAGCTGTCTCTCCTGTCTCCTTCTCACCTGTCTCCTCACTTGCCTCCTTCTCACCTGTCTCCTCGCCTGTCCCCTTACCTGTCTCCCCAGCTGTCTCCTTGCCTGTCTCCTTACGTGTCTCCTTGCATGCCTCCTTGCCTGTCTCCTCAGCTGTCTCCTCTGCCGAGTACATTTTATCACATTTGTAATATACATATACATACATACATACATACACATATATATATATATATATATATATATATATATATATATAT